TCCTCCTGCGTGAACTTTTTCGACCAGGTATGGTCCCTCCCAATTGGGCTCCAGTTTTCCTACATGCTTGAGCACGTCCACCCTTTTCCAAACCAGATCACCCACCTGGAAACGGTGAATCTTCACCTTCCTATCATGCGCTGCTCTCATTCGTTGTTTGTACGCTTCAACTCTGGTCGAGGCTTGTTCTCTGAGCTCCTCGATCGTGTCTAGGGCAGTTAACATGAGCTCCTCATTCTGCTCTCGATCATATGCGCTTACCCTCTGGGACTGCAACTCTAGTTCAATTGGTAAGAGTGCCTCCATTCCATAGACCAGGCTGAACGGCGTCTCCCCCGTGGTCGACCTCGGGGTGGTCCTGTATGCCCAGAGCACAGATGTTAACTCATCGACCCAGGCCCCCGAGGCCTTTTCCAATCTCGTCTTCAAGCCATTCAATATAATTCTGTTGGTCACCTCCACCTGTCCGTTGGCCTGAGGGTGGGCGACCGAGGCGAAATGTTGCTCGATTCTCATCTCCTCACACCATGCCCTCACTCGCTTGCCATTGAATTGGGTTCCATTATCAGATATCAAGACCTTAGGGACTCCAAATCGACAACAAATGTTATTGTACAGGAATTGGATTACTTTTTCTTCCGTGATTTTGGCCAGTGGCTCAGCCTCTACCCACTTTGTGAAATAGTCGACCGCGACGATCAAAAACTTGCGCTGTCCCGTTGCCTGCGGCATTGGCCCCACCAAATCAATCCCCCATTGCGCGAACGGGATTGGTGCGCTCATTGTGGTCATCATCTCTGCCGGTTGATGTATGAGTGGGCCGTGCTTTTGGCATTGCAGGCATCTTTTGGCCATTTCCTTCGCATCCGTCTTCATTGTCGGCCAAAAGTAACCAGCTCTTAAGATTTTCGCGACCATAGCTCCGGCCTTACTATGATCGCCACAACACCCTTCGTGCACTTCTCGCAAAACGCATCGACCTTGCTCTTTGGATACACACCTCAAATGTGGGCCTGCATAGGATCGTTTGTAGAGCATCCCGCTCTGTTCGAAAAATCTCCTCATTACTTTTAGTGCTCCTTCTCGCAACTCTCTCTGGATCGAGGACCTCCAATCTTCTACCTCCTCAATTTCTGCTACCTCGGCCTCAGTTGTGCTTCTCTCCATGTGTAGCAAGGTCACACTCCTACTCTTGCAATCTACCAGATTCTGGGCGATCTTAGACAACAAATCAGCCCTACCATTCTCTCCCCGAGGTATTTGTATTAATTCAAATGACGTAAATTCTTCTTTCAGTTTCCTCATATTGTCCACAAGACGTTGCAGTCGATCCTCTTTGATCTCAAAACCTTCCTGAAATTGGCCGACCACCAACTGGGAATCCGAATAAATCTGGACCTTTCGAGCACCACCATCCAGAGCTAATTGTAACCCCTTTATTACTGCCTCGTACTCTGCCTCGTTATTTGACACGCGAAATCCCAACTTGACGGCAAACTCCAAATAATCGCCTTTGGGCGAGACCAGGACTATCCCCAAACCGGCCCCGCTTCTCGACACTGAGCCATCCGCGTACAATTGCCACTCTCCTTCTGTGCTCTCCTCCTTTGTACCTTCCTGGATAAAATCGGCCAAAACCTGGGCCTTAATCGCCCTCCTTGGCTCGTACACTATAGAGTATTCGCTTAATTCGACCGTCCATTTTACAAGTCGACCTGATACTGCTGGTCGACCCAATGTTTGTGCTAAGGGCATGTTCGTCCGCACCCTGACCTTGTGGTTTAAGAAGTATGGTCGTAACTTTCTGACTGTCATGACCACCGCCAGTGCGCATTTCTCAATCTCTGAATACTTCAACTCCGCTCCCTGCATCACATAACGTCGCTTTTCTTCTCGCAGCGCCCCCTTCTCCTGTCTGCAACCCACAACCCCCAGTTGGTCCTTCCACCCCACGGTCATGCGCCCGCCTGTTGTCTTGTGTGGGAGAGGGTAAGCTGCGCCTCGCACCGCCCAGCCCTCTCCCCAGCCAGGTTCTGGGCCGCCATCTCATCTCGCGCGTCTCATGTTTTGTGTCTGTCTTGTGCCAGTTGATTGAAGGCTTCTTGGCCTCTGGTTCTTCATTTTATTTCAGGAAGGTGACTCCTATGTTGGCCTTACGCCGCTGGGTCGCTCCCCCTCTGGGGGAGAGGGCTTGGGTTCTTTCAGCGTAGCTCGTCAAGCCGAACCCTTTGGGCCCTCTTCTTCCCCCAATTGGCGACTTCGAGAGCTCAGATCTCGACTAAGGCTTGTCTTCTCGCCGGTTCTTTCTAGCCTTTTTTGTGAAGGTTTTAGTTTTAGGGTCTGTTTCTATAGCTTTTTAGGTGTTGATCGTGGGTTTGTTTTGTTTCGATTGTTGGCTTGTGTGATGGGTTGTATTTTAGTTACGGTTTACTTGCATTGAATATGGGGTAGTAATCTATAGTTAGTTTAAGTGTATGTTAGTCAGATAGTGACGTAGTGTATTATTCTCTACTTGTTGGAGTAGATTCTCCACTTGGTTGAAGAGGTAATTTTTTCTAGTGGGGTTTTTTTCGTTTCTTTTGTTGAGGATTAGGCGTTTAACTTTTTAGTTATAGTGCTCTTTTCCGTTGCCGTAAACTTGAATCCCTGTTCTTTGTGCTTTAGTTTTAGTTTAAGATACTTCTCTTAGTGCTCCTCCCTGATTTCACCTTTTGGTAGGTTTGTTTGGTTATCACTACAAAAAAAAAGCTCTTACATTCCAACGAAAATTTTCCGTTGGAATTTTTTATATTTCCGTTGGAATAGCTATTCCAACGGATATTCCTACGTATAAAAATCCGTTGGAAAAACGACCGTTGGAATAGCAAATATCCAACGAAAAATCCTATGGAAATAAATTCCTACAGCTATTCCAACGGAAAAAATCCGTTGGAATTCCTCAACTATCCAACACTTATTCCAACATAAAATTAAGTTTTTTGAAATATTCATTGTAATTTCCAACTGAAATTTTTGCCGTTGGAATTTTTCGTTGGAATTGTAGTGCTTTTTTGTAGTGTATTTAGCATTTGAATTTAATCTTGTAATTTTTGAGGAATACAATTTATCGTTAAAAAAGAATATAATAATAAATGAAAAAAAAAAAAGAAAAGAGGAAGAAGGAAGAAAGAAAAATAATAGAATAGAGCACACCTCCGCAAAGGAAAAAACAAGGATTTTACTATTTTGCCACCCTCCATTACAACATGGTTTACAACCATGTGTAATGGAGACATTGAAAAATGTGCATTAATTGAAAAATGTGATAATGCACATTTTTCAATGTCTCCATTACACATGGTTGTAAACCATGTTGTAATGGAGGGTGGCTATGTAGCATCACCCAAAAACAAACGTAAAAATCTGCCGTGGGAGATAGCAGTAGCACTACCGTGTGCCCTGGCACACCTAGCTAGGTGTGCCAAGGCAGTTTTGCACGCGCCTCACTCACCCCAAAAAACAAGAAAATTTGGAGAGTGTAGTGCACATTCCTATTTTTTCTTTTTTAATTGAAAAATGAGACATATTACATAAATTAAAATATCATTAATTATTTATATTAAAAAAATAAAATAAAAATACCAAAATTCATAATTTTTCATTATCTATAAATAAAGACCACATTTGATAGATTTTTTAACACAACTAATTTTTCGTTTTTTCGTAATTATTTTATTATACTGACATATAACGAACATGTTACATACTAAAATGGGCCCGGCGTATTCGGGTCCAATACGTTGTTGTATTCCAGCAGATATTTCTCTTTCTAACCAAAGAATTAGTGCTCTTCTTCTTCGGACACATTTGGCATGGTGGACTTTCATTGAAGACTTCCTTTGGTTGATGTCGACATTGAACATGTTACAGATTGCACATTGAAATAATACATATTCATCTTATTTTATAAATTTTACTTTATTGTGTATGTAACATGTTCATCTTATTATATAACATGTTTATTTTATTACGTAACATGTTCACCTTATTGTGTATGTAACATGTTCATCTTATTCTATAACATGTTCATCTTATTTTTAACATGTTCATTTATATTATGTAACATGTTCATCTTATTCTATAACTGTTCATTTTATTATGTAAGTAACAGTTCATCTTATTCTATAACATGTTCATTTTATTATGTAACATGTTCATCTTATTTTAGAACATGTTCATCTAAATTTCATTTGTGAAAATGTAACATTTTCATCTTATTCTATGACATGTTCATCTTACTCTATAACATGTTCATCTTACTATGTAACATATTCATTTAATTATAGATTTATGTGATAATCTTCCAATAAGATAAATTAATTGTAAAAATGATAAATTAATTGTGTTCCAAAAAATATCAAATGTGGTCTCTATTTGTAGAGAATGAAAAATTATGAATTTTGGTATTTTTATTTTTATTTTTTGATACAAAATATGAATGATAATTTAATTTATATAATATGATATATGAATTTCATTACCCAATAGAAATGAGACACATGTCCCATTAAAAAAAAAAAAAGTCTTACCGCGCTTTTGAGAGTGGTATATTTTACAAAAGCCACTGACACACCTAGCAAAGTATGTCAGGGAACACCTAAGTATTTGTCGGGAGATAGAGAGTGCGGGACCCACACAGCACACAATACAAATTCAGGTAAAACAAAATATTTAAAATATCTTATATGTCTAAAACCCTAATAAAAATCCATTTTCCATAATTTTGTGCTTCTAAATTCCTATCCATAAAACAAATCCTACTCTCCGAGCTCGGGTTGATGGCGACGCTTACATTTTCAAACCCTGTGTTCGAATTAACTTCGCCGCACTCTTCAGCGGCCTCTAATTCTGCCGGATTTTCACCATTGCTTTCCAAAAATGCGCGTGGTGGTAATGCTATAACCTTCTCCAGGTCTGGCCGGAAAAGTTTATACTGTTCCAAACGGCATCGGAATGCGGTTTATTGCTCGTTTATACCTGTGGACACTGCTAAAATTAAGGTCATCGGCGTCGGTGGTGGTGGTAACAATGCTGTCAATCGCATGATTGGCAGCGGTTTACAGGTTGCATATCCAATTCTCTTACGGTTGTTTCTTTTTATTTGTGCTTCGCTTTTGTAATGGCTTTCTTTCTGTACTTATGTTGGGTTTTGTGGCACTAAATATTCTGGGCGTTTTAGTTGTTGCTATTTCATGGGTAGTACGAGTAATGTTGGTGGACCTTGATAAGCGTTTTTTCTTGCCATAGCCATAGAGTTCTGGTTATTATTCTTTCAGCTTTGTTGAAGATGCTTGCAAATACGATAATTTTGACTTCCTGTAAGCTATATTTTGATGCCATACTTAGGATGCCACTCGTTGGTCGTTATTAGATATGGCAAATGTGAAAACCATCTTTTTGTGTAAATCATCAAATGGATGTGGTTGAAGTTCCTGTGTAAACGATTTTTTTCTATTTCCATTTATGGAAAGATTCCCTTTCGCTGTAGATGTCGGGTATCATTTCATGTCATGGTAGAGTAACATTTAATTGCTCTATTTGGATTATTTGCTTGTCCTAGATCTGTTACGCTTACTAAAACTCGTGTTTGCATTATGTATATACTTAAGCGGCGTCTTTTAATATTGCTATCAAATTTTGATCAATCAACTCTCTTTGACATTACTTATATACCATAGATGTTACAATTAACATTTCAAATGGATTTCTTGTATATGATTTAAAAAATTCTGTTCTCTGGTCAAGGGCATTTGAATCTCGTTGATTTAATGATAATGTCTAAAGCACGATTCTATCGGTTTTGAATGGCAGGGAGTGGACTTTTATGCCGTAAATACAGATGCTCAGGCTCTGTTGCAATCTGCGGCTGAGAACCCCATTCAGATTGGAGAGCTTTTGACTCGTGGACTTGGTTAGCATTCCTCAAACTTTTTGTATAAACTTTTCAATTTCTGAAACTTGAACTTGCTTACAGAGTACAACATTTACAGACTGGAAAAAAATATCACGCATGGCATGCAATGTACTTTTCTTATAGTTGGCAGGCTTTACATAATGGTATACTTTCAGAGGGTTGAATGTCAATGTGAGGTAACACTTGCTGCTTGCATGCAGGTACAGGTGGCAATCCACAATTGGGCGAGCAGGCTGCAGAAGAGTCGAAAGAATCAATTGCAAATGCCCTCAATGGATCAGATATGGTGTTTATAACTGCTGGGATGGGCGGTGGTACGGGTTCTGGTGCTGCCCCTGTTGTAGCACAGATAGCAAAGGAAGCTGGATATCTTACTGTTGGTGTTGTGACCTATCCTTTCAGCTTTGAAGGGCGCAAAAGATCATTGCAGGTAAGCCTCCATGTGTGTGAAAGAACAAGGAGAGTCAATATTTCGCTTCTCATGGTTCTTAGACTATGAGCTTTCTCTGAATTGGATGGTACGCTATGTTGCTCTTCCTCATTAAAAGCCATGACAATACTGATTTAAAGTACAAGAATTGCTTACGGAGACCATCTCTGTATGGTTCATGCAGTGCCCATAGGCTTATTCTATCGCTGACTCGATATTGTTAATGATAAGTAACTTTCAAAATAAAATAACGCAATACAAATATTACCATGATGAACTATTTTCCTGTCACATGCCCTTGACCAGAGAACAGAATACTTATTCATTGAATGATTTCTTGAATTCATTCGCTATTTCCTTGCCCTTCCTCTCTTTTTCCTTCCCGTCTTCTTCTTCATCAATTTTCTTTTTCCTCATAAAAGAAACTGCGTTAAGCTCAGTTTATGGTTTACAACAAGGAACTCATGCATGAAAGGATGCCCTCTTGTGTGGTGTCATATTTCTTGCAAATTTCTACAGTCTCATGATTTTCCTAGTGTGCATCTTGTGATTTTACAGGCTCTTGAAGCAATTGAAAAGCTCCAGAAGAATGTGGATACACTAATAGTGATTCCAAACGACCGTCTACTGGATATTGCTGATGAGCAGACTCCACTTCAAGATGCATTCCTTCTAGCAGATGATGTGCTCCGTCAAGGTGTCCAAGGGATAGCCGATATAATCACCGTAGGTGTTATAAGAATCTAACAATGTTTCATCTAAACTATCTTGCTCTGTAATAGGTTTTCTCAATTTTCCCAGACGATGCATATTAATCTTGTCTTCTCTTTGAGTAGTATACCTTTTTGGTTCAGAAATGCAAAACAGCTCCACATTTATATAGCATTTGACAAATCATTCAATGAAATAGTATTCTGGTAGGTTTACTCAAGTAAAATGCATAGACCTTCAGTCCAAAGGCTATGTTTCTGTCATTATATTTATGAGGTAAATACGAGAAATGCCATTGACGTTGCACCTAATTGGAAGAAATAAATATCCAATTGATATTTGTTTTCACTTTACAATATTGCATCTTGAATAAAGTTATTTGTTAAATCTTGGTATTTTCAGGCGAATTTTCCTGTTGCCTTTCTCTTCAAGCTCGTCTATGATACACGATACGACTGTATTTGTTTGTTTCTTTATATTGCGAAACCTCTTGGCTGGTTTATGTTATCTCCAAATATCGAGAAAAAATCAAGTAATTCTTATTGTCTCTGCAGATCCCTGGTTTGGTGAACGTGGATTTTGCAGATGTTAAGGCAGTCATGAAGGACTCTGGTACTGCTATGCTTGGAGTGGGTGTCTCCTCCAGTAAGAACCGCGCAGAGGAAGCAGCCGAGCAAGCAACTTTGGCACCACTGGTCGGCTCTTCTATTCAATCCGCTACTGGAGTTGTGTACAATATAACCGGAGGGAAGGATATAACCCTGCAAGAAGTAAATAGGGTGTCACAGGTGGTACCCTTCTGTTGCGCTTTTCTTCTTTTTTTTTTTTTCCTGGGTTCTAAGAATCATTATTTGCACAAGTTTTAGGTCTAAACACAGAGACTGTCATTGAGGTTTTGCTTAATCACATAAAATCCATTTGCATTTGAAATTATACATGTATTTTACAAATGCTACCTATATGAGGGAATATATTTAATTTACAACCTCCCGGTACGATTGTCTTTAACCTTCATATTTGAGAAATCAGTGGCTTTTCTTATAATTAAGCTAAACTTGGGCAATTTTGTAGTTGTCCACATAATTGTACTTTGTCTCAAATAATAGAATATTCTTTCCCATGTGTTTAATACTGTAATATCTCACATGACATTGTTCATTTATGGATTCAAAAACACTGCTCAACTTTAAGGAGTTTTTAATTTGTTTTTTCAATAAACGAAAATCCAAGCTGTTGGAATTTTTTTCTAATTTCCTGTTTGCCGGATGATCTCTTCCAGGTTGTTACGAGTTTAGCAGATCCTTCGGCAAACATTATTTTTGGGGCTGTTGTGGACGAGCGCTACAATGGAGAAATACATGTCACGATAATTGCAACTGGTTTCACTCAGTCGTTTCAAAAGACTCTTCTGACCGACCCACGTGGAGCAAAGTTAGCCGATAATAACAAGTCCAAGTCCACTGGGAGACTAGACAGCCTGAAATCACCACTTATTCTCAATTCATCGAAATCTCCTGTCACTAATCCTCAGGCGCCTCCTCGACGGCTCTTCTTTTAGCCTCACCCTTTTTTGTTCTTTTTTTTTTTGGCATTTTCTTTTTGTGCTCAAACTATTTTCTTTTGTTGATCGGCAGCATCATATGTTGATACGAAATTTGTAGACCGATCTATTTTTGTTGTATTCAGTAGCTGCAAATGATTGTGTATGTATTGAGTGGACGGTGAAATTTGATTTAGAAATTCCTTTGTAAAGTTACAGTTTTAGGTATCTTCATGAACGCAATATTCAGTAGCTACAAATGTTTGTGTTTACAAAACCCTTATCGAGAGCAGTATCAAAAAAGAAACACATAGTAATACAAAAGAATAAAGTGCCGGCAAAACCCCCCAACATATTTTAAATCTCACACAAATTTTGTATTTTACCGCTCAAGCCACAATTTGATCTCACAGCAACTCAGAAGACAACGAGCTTGCCATTCAAGAACCAATCGAGTACTCTGTTGTCTACTTTTCGTCGCTATAAGAAGTAATCTGGAGCTGGCTTTCTGGCCGGCAGTCCTCTCGATTCCTGCATTCACCCAATAATGTATCAGTAAGAATTGGTTTGCAGAACAAGGCAATACAAAAAGTTCAGTAATAAATAACAAACAAGAAAATAGAGTGTATATAAATAAAGCAAATCAATTGCATGCATATATACACCTGTGGAGCTGCTTGAAATACACGAAATTCCTTTTCAAGGTTTTCATTTAGCTCGAGAATCGCGGCTATGTTTCCACATCTGCAGGGATAACTAAATCTCATGACAGATTCGAGGCAGATGAAAGCAAAGCCAACAACAGTAACTATTACTATGTTACTATCATCACCAACACCAATAGCATTATTACCTATAACAGTAATTTGGTGCTGACCAGACTGTAACTATCTGGTCCTCAAACATCCATTTATAGCCATCCATTACCAACTGATGGGCACGGCATATGTAGTCAATCTTATTGGTGTGATTGAAAGTAGTGACGACACTGCCACCAAATAAGAATCCGGCCCCACGAGGACTCAGTCCCCAACCATCCACAATGTCCTCTGGATCTGACCATAGAAGATCACACATTGCACCATCATGCGGGACTTCTTGCTTTCGATCAATTGTCCGAATCTGGCATGTCACAAACGACTTTTAGGAAGAAAAAATACAAAAGAAGAATTCTTCTCAGGAAAACATTAAACTCAGTATACTTTTTAAACCTGGTCTAACGTAGAAATTGCAGGAGACAATCCACCGTGAACACAGAATATCCTGTTCTCAATTAGCGCTGACAGACTGCAAGAGATAGCAAAAAAACATAAGTGTTCGAGACCAGTTGAATCAGAATGTGGTAATACAAGAGCATGCAAGCACAAAGATGCGAAAAAAATTGCATTCAAATTTCATAGCTATACCATGATCAATCAAAGGCAACAACAAATGAGATTTTAGTATATTATTCAGTTTCTATGAGTTCCAACATTTTTGTCTGTTTGCAATTAACAAAACTTGGTGAAATGTCCAAAAGATCGCAACCTCATGTAATCAAAAACGTCAGTGCAGTATCTCCAAACATTGATAGAACCATATTTCCGTAGACACTCGTCATAGAAACCATACACCTGAAATCACAGAAAATGATACTAATTAGTTTATGCAAAATTGTACCCACCAAATCTCACGCAAAATGATTTAAAGATTCAAAACCTGTGTTATCTGTCGGCTCTCATGGTTTCCCCTGATTAGAGTTATCCTATCCGGATACCTTACCTATCATCATTGCACTAACTGTTAGTTAAGCAACAAATCTCATATGCAGTTAAGTAAATAAGCAAAATTACCTTCAACGCAAGTAGAAGCAGGAATGTCTCGACAGAATAAAATCCTCTATCAACAAAATCTCCAAGAAACAAGTAATTTGTTTTTGGGCAGTCGCCCCCTACTTTAAACAGCTCTTTCATGTCATAGAACTGCCCGTGTATGTCACCGCAAATCTGCACAAACCAATAGGTAACATGTATAAGGGCCAGATGATAACTGAGGTCATACATATTTCACGCACCAGAGCTCGCTTTTCTGATACTCACACACATCCTCACACGATCAGTCTCAGAATAAGTGTAATACTGCTTGAATGAATTTAAAATGCAATGCATTAGACACATCCTCCTTCACCCCAATTCCAGCCTCCCATTTAAAAATGGAGAACTATCAAAGCATGGAAATCAAGAATGTTCAAATCTACTTAAGAAAACAGCAACTACACCGCGAAATCTAACCGTGGAGAGACAAATCCAACAAACCCAAAAGATTTTCCCCCATTCACAGAAGCTAAGATAAGAAAAGCAAACCCAGAACCACTCAACAACCCACAAGCCAAAAAAACAACACCAATACACAATACACAATACACTCGAGCAGAATTACCCGCATAGTAAATCCAAAATCATATACCTCCTTTCAAAACCCTATTGAAAAGAAACCACCAAATTCGAATTAACACCAACCAAAAAGAAAAAAGTAAAAAAAAAAAATAGCAAA